AGCAGGGAGTTTTATTTTATTCACCCAAAGTATTTACAAAATTAAAGCAACAAAAACAAGCCAGCGTGATAGAAACTGTTTATTCATTCACAAAAGAAGAAGTGCACTCCAGCTTTAACCATAATTCAACTAAACAGAGTTTATCATACTTACGGCTCCTCTGACTGATATAGTCTGTACTGGCCACTCCATAGATTATTGCAGGGGAGAAGAGACAATCCTATTCTTAACAACTGTGGCACAGATGAAGGTGGCTCTTGAGAACACCCCTCTGTCTACAGCAGAATGGTGCAGTCCAATCATCCCTCCTCTACTTAAACTGTTGTGTTGCAGCAGTTTACTCTTTTGCAATCTTCTCCTCTCACCGTTGGTGAAATAGAGAATAAAAGTCCTTCCCCAGTGCTGATAAAGATGCTGATAAGCAATGAAGCAAATGTGAGGATTAGCTGCTTTTATCATGTTTTTCTCACAATGAATTGGATTTCTTTGTGTTTTGGACTCATCAATAACAGGTTCTGGGAACTTGTGATGGACTTTTATGTGTTTGCAATCATCTGGTATCACTCATGTTGTGGGGACCTAGTCTCAAGTCTCCATAATACATATCTGTGTGTGTGTGTGTGTGTGTGTGTGTGTGTGTGTGTGTGTGTTCGTTCATTAGATCTCATTTACATCATTTGCCTTTTTGTTAGATATTTTTGTGAACACCCTTTTTTTTCTTTGTCTAAAATAATCTTTGGATGTGCGGTCCATCCCCCTCTTGTTCCATCATCATGCTTCCTACCCATAATGCCTTGCCTGTGTTCTCTACCTCAAAAGTCTTCACTTCAGGGGTCAGTCAGGAGCAGGAAGGCTTATCTAGCACGGCCTCTTCTTGTAAAATCGATGTACCCTTTGACATGTTGTCATTATATTCTGTAATCTGCTGTCCTCCCTCCCACAGTCTTTACCCCTTACTCTTCCAAAACCTGATGATTAATTTTAGTTTCTCTCTCTCTCTCATTCAGTCCGTCTCACCTAATCTCTTTTTATACGCAGACACATGCAGGGAAATAGTCCCAAATTGCGATTTGTCAGTTTTCACATGCCCTTGTTCATCTCAGCTGTAGAAAATCACTCCCCCGCTGTGCTGTTTTAATCTATTGGATGCCATTTTAATCTAATCTGTGTGCCTTTTATGTGAAGAGTGCACAGGGCAGGCAGATGCTTTTTTTATGGTGACTGCATCAAATGAAGACATACCAGCCGTCATGTTGTGATTAAGTTGTGTCCGCTGTTTCATTCACTGCCGTCCCTTCTGTCAGCACCGTGTACCACTTACTTAGCATCTCCACAAAAGTGTGAAGACAGCCGTGCTGTAGGTCGTGCAGGCTTCTACTTTCCCCAACTGTTTCCAAAATGACTTGACACACAGGTCATCACCTCCTGCATCAGCAGTGCATCATATGTTTTAGTTTATGACCACGAGAAGGAGATGGACGGACTCACAACTGAGAGGACACACTGTTGACCTGTTATCTGACTGAGCCATAAAAAGAGGCCTTTCATCTTTGTCTTTGCCTCTTTCCTGTTTTGTTTACGCTCTTTCCTGCAGGGGACTGAAAACTTTAGACAAACTTTAGAGAAAATGTTAAAAAATCAGTTTTTTGAACCAGGAATTTACTTGATGTATTGATGGAAACAGGTTTTTTTGAAAAACCTTGTTGTTCTATCAGTCAGTGAATGGGTATTTGCTGTTTAAGGTATGCAGTGTGGGCCTGTGTACCACATTATCCTCCAAAATATATACTTACACAAATAATGTAAATACTTTTGATACAATGTTTTTGAGAAAAACATTTTGTATCCGTCATAAAATGCTCATGTATATATATCTGTATATAAGAATGTGGCTTATCTTGGTTTCCCTACAATACTCTCTTTAAGAATAATCTATAACTGCCTGAGGCAAGTTAAGAATGAATAAACTTCTTTGAGGTTGTGTTTAAATACTCCTGGTTAAGGTCAGGAAGAGTTCATGGACTGGTTAAAAAGTCAGCAGTGACCTGAGGGATGACCCAGAATCGATCCATCCATCCATTGTCTGTACTGTTGTCCTGTAAGGGTCACATGGGGGTTGGAACCAATTTGAGTCAGGTGCTGGAGTATTGCAGGGTCAACATACATCATTTGAGATGAACTCTGGAAAATGGCTGGCGGGAATGGACTATTCTGCCTTTCACGTATGCGAAATGCAGCAGGAGATTCTTCTGCATCTTTTTTTCCCAGTTTTGCATCTATGTGAAATGTCAACACACACACAATCGCTCGCCGTGAATTATCTGGACATTGATAATGCCATTTTCTCACATGGGCTCACTCGGACATTCAGAGTTTTTAGGGTACTGGCAGGAACAAGTTTTGAGAGAGTCGTGACCGATTGATTTGGACATTTTCATTCTCACATACAAGGCTGGTGTATCATTGCATGTCTGTGTGCATTGACACTCACTATGAATGATTTAGAGACTCTAATTAACCCAATCTGCATGTGTTTGGACTGTCGCAGGAACTGGGATGAAACCCACAGGGATCAGGGAGAACGAACTCCACACAGATAAATAACAGCAAAAGTGTGCTTTTCTTCAAAATGTAGGAGTTTGATTCACAAATCAGTGTCAGTATGATATTCCAGAGAAGACTTCCTGCAAACCTCTTCTTTCTTCCTGTCTCTTTTAAAAACACACCTGTTGGTCTTTAAAGTGTTTGTTTAGGAGACAGATATTTAATTCAATTCAATTCAATTCAATTTTATTTATATAGCGCCAATTCATAATTTACATTATCTCAAGGCACTTTACATTTAAAGGTCAAGACCTTAAAACAATATTAACATAGAGAAACCCAACAGTTCCCACAATGAGCAAGCACAGGCGACTGTGGAGAGGAAAAACTCCCTCATATTTAAGGCCACAATTGAACTGTATATACCAGTAAGAGTATAAACATAAAACAGAGTAAGAGGTGTTAAACTGATGCCACTGTGCTATCTGACACTACATCACTTATGAGTGTGTGCATATTCATGTCACTGTCTGTGTCTCTGTGAATACACAGATGTGGAGGGTTTAGTTCAGGATTAACGTTCATTCTGATAAAACAGAGATCCTCTCGCCTCTCTGCTGGTAATCCCCCCCCCCCCAATCCCCTCTGCTGGTCCGGCTGATGCATTCAGGGGCTGCAGGAGGATTCAAGTACACATTTCCAGATCTTTATCACTCTGCTTCTGATGCTCCTCTGCTGTCAACTGTGATATTTATAACTGATGAATTCTTGAAACACAAACAGGAGCAAATGTGTGTGGATATCTTATCTGTGAAATTGATTCTTGACTGGTTGTCAGTGCTGCACTTTACTAAAGCTTCTAACACTGTCGGTCCAAAGATGTGTGGGATGAATTCTATTTCTTTTATATTTTATTCATATAGAGTATAAATAACAATTTCATTCTATTGCTGAATAGTATGATGCCAGCTGTGCAGAGGGGTGTGGTATTATTCCGCTCAACTGTCACATGTTTAGTATTGTTAAAATGCTGTTAATTTGTGAGAGAAAATAAATAATTTGAGGTGAATGGTTTTATTCCTAACACATTCTTTGTAAACTTGTGACACAGGAGAAGATAAATGAGCACATAAGAAGCAGAAAGGTGCTTGTGTTTTTCAGGCTGCCTCAATCTGATTGTTTGGTCCACATCAGATTTCAATTAACAGCTTCGTCTTCAGCAGTAAAAAAACAGAGTTAATGGGAAACACAGCAAAGTTTGTTCAAAGCAGTCAGGAGTCAAATGTAGTTTTACCACACAGCTGAACTAAAGCTTCCAGTTTAAGTGAGAAAATGGGAAACACGGTGCCAGAAAATTGGATCCAGCCTTATTCGTCTAATCACAGCAATTCAACATTGGACTTCAACATCCTGCTATACCATTTGTGCAATAAGTTTTATAAGGATTGGAAAAAGTATCTTAATTTCAGTATATACAATAAAACACACACGCACGCATTATGATGACAAAAAACCAAGTTGCAGGAAATATGGTCACAATCTCGCCTTCTGTTCCCGAGATATTGTGCTGAACAACTTCCAGAAAAGACATCAAGATATCAGTGAAGTTGGCCTTTGACCTTTTGGATATTAAATGTCATCTTCATTAATAATAATTAGCATATTAAATATTGCATTATGACGGATTACATGTTTATTACATCAGAGTAACCTTGACCTTTGACCAGAGTATCTTGATATCCCGCTAGCTAGCTAGATAATGATAATACTAATATATTCATTCACACTTCCTTCATTAAACAATTAGATAGAAGTAAAGTAAAAATACTAAGAAATAACATATGAAACCAGGAATAAGATCATGTAAATATGTTTTAAGCTTTGATTTAAAAGAAGCTATAAGCCATAAATCTCACCTCCTCCATGTGAGCGAATGTGCAACTTGGGCCAAACCAAATAAATGTACCGATGCATTTTTTACACTTTCTTTCCCTCAAAGATAGTTTCATTTCATTTCTGGTAGTTCAGGCTGGTGTGTGGGGCGTGGCTCCACTCTGGTGCCAAATGACATCACTTGTTCAAAATGGCAGCTCCTATACACAGGAAACATGTAAATAATTACATTATTTAAGTATAATTAAAAAATAAATATGTTATGAATAACGCAATCCCTCTGCTGTCACTAAATCATTCTGGGACAAAGTGAATCTTGACACTTACCATTTGCGGTGTAATATACATTTTATAAATTATAAAACATTATAATAAAAATATGGTTCTATGATCTAGAACATTGCACTTTGAAGATAAATACTTACAGGTAAAAATAATCTATGTAGAGTAATTGCCACTTGTCTTACCTAGTGGTGTGATTACAGTTACCATGAGGGTGGGTTAATCAATTAATTACATTATACTTTTTAGATAATTTCTTCTTCCTTATTGCCGTCCCTCCAGTTTGTTTCTTGGGCTGAAGAACAGACTGCCTTTTCCCACGTTTGTTCTCTTTCTCTGGCTTATTCCCTGATTTTGTATGTTGGTTTTTCAGCCATGACAGCACTTTATCTCTGGATTTCTGCAGCTGATCAGGATCCGGTTCAGAGATGTCTCTCTTCTCTATGGCGGTAAATAATATGTTAATGTCGTACACAACTGAACAAGATAGAAGATATATGCTGTTGGGCCGGTTTTTAATTCATTCACCTGCACAGAGATAGTGGTGAAACTCCATCGACGCTCCACTCTCTCTCCAGCAGTCCCTTCATGTTCTTCAGAGAGCCAGAACATGCATCATCTTCACTCTCAACATCTAGACTAGCGCCGGATTCTTCTGGCAGATGGTCATCTTCATGTCGGTGCTCTGTCGCTCCTTCTTCTCTTGCTGGAGCCTCAGACGTCTCTGTGTCTTTTTTAACTGGTTAGAAAATCCAACAGTCGGGTTATGAGATAGAAATCATTTAAGATTCTGTTGGAATTTGCTGAATGCTGTTATCGTTTGATGCAGTTATTCCCGGACTGCATCGGACGCTGAAAAAAACTGACAGTACAAAGTTGAATTGAAAAAGTTAACTACCTGCTATTTTGGTATCCTATGCAAGGAGAATTCATTATATCAAATTCTGCAAATATAATAAATCATTTTTAATTACAAATAATGTTCTGTTAATGCTTACAGGTTAGTGGTAAATCCATGCTGTGGTTTCCTTTCAAGATGTGGTATCTTTCCCAGTTCCTGCGATTCCACTCGATGTTAAGATGCTCTGTGATCTCGTCTTTTTTCTCACTTAACCTGTCGCCTCCGTCTTTCTCAGCTTGTGGATCATGTGTCTCACTGAGGTAGAAAGAGCTGTTTCCCGCAACCATCTCCTCCATCTTCTCCAGCAGCTCTATAACCTGATCATCAGCACTGCTCCTGTTGTCCAGCACGTGATACCTCTTTCCACATTTCTCAATGAGCCAGTGGAGAGGCTTTCCTTCACTTTCAATATGTTGCTCGATTGTTTTTCTGCCCAAAACGTCCCCGAAAGTAAACAGCACGATTACGTGTCTCCACGCTCTGAGTCCGAGCATCATCATGTTGTCCTCAGTGACTCGCCTTTGTTCCTCGGTGAACGACGTGTCGAGTGGCACCGCCAGCACAATGACATTCGGTGCAGGCGAGCACAGCGACAGGCCGCTTAAGGTCTCAGACTTCATGGCATCCGGGGTGAAGATTGCTGGGAAGAATTTCCACCATCCGGGAGTGTCTACGATGATGACCTCTCTTCCAGCCACCTTGCCAATTTGCTTTAAGACTTTCATGGTCCTGTCACCAGACTGAAACACTTGAGCGTTCAGAATCCTGTTCCCAGTGGCACTCTTCCCGGAAAACACCCAGCCGACCATCAATATCCTCAGTTTGGGCTTTGGGTCTGTGTAAGAAGATAACTTTTAGAAATCGAGTGAATTGAAAGTACCATCCTTACCTCTGCCAAGGAGGTCATTGGACTGTAGGATCTTGGTGGAGGTATGTGCTCTACTGCAAGCCAAACTATTTTATTTTTTATTTTTTGGAATATAAAAGCTCAAAATATTTGCTTACTAGCAGTGAAATGTTTTTTTAAGCCCTGAAAACTTGACTTATCTGTAAAGCTTGTGCATATTTACATTAAACAGAGTAATAATTTACAGATTTGCTGACCTGAGGGCTTGTTAACGTGTAAGGTCATCTGCCTGTAAATGCTTGTTGCCATTACAAAACTGCTACATTGTTATTATTAACAACAGAGATTGTGGCCAAAACTAGAAAAAAAAAAAGAAGAATGGATTTTATCTTATGACATTTATGAAAGCAAAACAAGTCAAACTGACCTAACAGGAGATTTCTGAGTGTTTGCCTGTGTTGTTGGGACTGCTGACACAACTTCTCTGCTTTTTCGTCCACTTCCTTCCTCCGCTCCTTCACACTTTTCACCAGTGTGCTCTCAACTTCATAACAATGCTTCTCTGACACCATGGCGTCAATCTTCTCAAACAGCTCTTTGACCTCCACGCTGTTGTCTGCACCTTCGCCGCAAAGAACATGGTATCTGTTGCCACAGGTCTTCAGGAGGGACTTCAGCGGCGCCCCTTCTTCTCTGATGTAATGCTCAATATTCTTGTGGCCTAGTTGGTCTCTGTGGATGAACACCACAAAAGTGTGATCCCACACCTTCTCCCCGAAAAAGTGCTCCAAGTGCTGCTTGGTTGCCTTCTTGTGTACACTTCCGAATGGCTGCTCAGCATTAATCACCAGGATAAATCCATGCAACTCAGGTGGACAGAGCGTGACGCTGAGAATCGCCTCCGCCCGGACAATTTCTGGCGTATCACAGAGGTTATATCCTCGCAGCCACCCGGGGGCATTTACCAGCGTCACGCTTTGCCCAAATACCTCTGCCTCTCGCCTCTCAGCATCAAATGTCGCATCTGATGCATCAAACGCACTTGTTCCCAGAATGATGTTTCCAACGAGATATTTGTGGGAGCTTTTTGATCCCAAAATAACAGCGTTCAGCTCTGACACAAAAAGAGAGAGAGAGGGATGGTGTCAAAGATGGAAGTGTGACAAATTATCTCTCATTCATTTACTTTTTTACCTTTGACTCACCTTTGGCTGGTGTAGCTTTCTCCATGTTTTCTGAAGAAGGTAATTAATATGCCTACTGAGGGGTTTGATTTCCTTTGTACGAGCCAAGCCCTGACTGCTCCTCACAGTGTCTTCGACAACGGTTAAAAGCAAAATCATTTCCGTGCAGAAGATATCAGATGACACTATAAACCACGCCCTGTTTTTTTCTCTTTTTTTTCTTTTACCTGTGAGTTCTTTCTTTGCATCCTATAATTTAACTCTTGCTGTCCAAGTGAGAAAGAGTATCAACAGTTTGTGGCATGTAGTAGTTTCAGATCGTATAAATAAAATCCATGTATAATTGTCTGCATATACTCTACTAATAGTATCAATTATCTTTCATCAGATTTAATTAGATTAGATTGTGTTTGGGTTCCATTGTCACACTGCTGCATATTCTGTTGCACCACAACCATGAATAACTCATATTTCCATGTGAGTTTGAAATCGAGAGGGCATGCGTGTAGGAGATGAGATGATCATTTTAATGCCATCTGCTGTTTCCCAGAAACTATGACATTAGTGCTTGTATGTTGTTGGACTGGTTTGTTCTGGAGCCATTCCAGGTTCCAAAGCAGCTTTTGAGTGTCAGGCTCTATCTGCTCCCCCTGCCAAGTCGCTTGCATAACCAAATTAATAGCAACACACAAGCAAGAACACCTGTAGTTTGAATTCACTATTAACACTCTGCTGTTTGCCCTGATCGACAGTGTGTGAGCAGAAGGAGATCATTTTTCAATAGCTGTTGCATCTAATACCAGTGTGCCAGAGATAAAGCGGGCACACACATTAGATCCTTCCAACATGACCAGGAGGCCTTCTAAGTCCATTCCATCTGTCCTAATAATTATTCACATTAAGCCAGCACTGTGGAGTCAAACAACACCTTCTGATATTAGAAATCTAATCCTCCTCAATGGTGGTTGGAATTGAACAGTCACAAGAGGGCATACAGCATTTTTCATGTAATCAGATGGCAGTTGTTGACCTCTCAGAAGGAATGGTGATACTTGATAAGATAACATGTTTCATTTATCTCATGGGGGCTCAATGGTTCATACTTAATACACACACACACACACACACACACACACACACACACACACACACACACACACACAAACAGGTGTACGTGTGGGATGACTTTGCAAATTGTGACCTGCTGGACTAGTTTCTACATCGAAACATTGTTGGTGTTAGCTTGTAGCCTGTTGCTGCCTGTTGGCTCTGCTCATAAACTTTATATGTAACATACTATGTAATATGCAAAGATGCATCTCCACTTCCTCCCACTATCAGAAATGAGTGAGTCTGTGCTGTAGTGGTCGAGGGATGGAGCTGTGGGTGCGAGGTCTCATCAATACATGTGCTCAATAACTCCAGAGTCAGTCAAACCCTCATTCAGCCCAACGTCTATCCCACTACTCAATAAGGACACGTGTTGATTCGGTAAGGTATATCAATAACTTTTGCACTTTGTCCGGCATATTTTACACTTTGTTTTTTTAAGTTTCAATGCCAATTTCAGTTTTTCTTCTTGTTTATCTTGTTAATCCTTTTAGACTTTATAATTTTAAGTGTTTTTTGAGCAGATGCAATATTCAACTCACTTTAATTCTGCTTTATTATTCTTGGTCTTGCGTGATATGTCCTTTTTTGTTGTTGTTGATTGTTGTACATAGTACTCTTTGCAGTCATTTTGTCCATCCTAATATACATAGCTCTGAGCCTGTAGCAGCATTACAGCATAATACTAAATAGTTTTTACCAAGTCTAATTCAAGGATCTATAATATTGTGTAATGTTGTACAGATTTTTAAGCCCCCCCTGAAGCTAATTTCTTATATAAGAACATAATTTTATGTACAGTGGCATCCAAAGTTCTGAGACTACTTTCCCATGTGGTCTTGTGTTTATGAATGGATGATATTGTCTTTCATTAATCACAAATTCTCCTATAAAGTCACATTTTATGTTCTAATAGCTGAATTTAGCTTTTTCTTTTACATTGTACAAACCATTATTAAATGTTTGTACACTGCTTATCAACGCTAAATAGGGGGACTTAGTGTCACCCAGAACAGGGCAAGATTACAAAATATTTAAAATAAGCTTTTACTCTATTTCGATATTATTTTTGAATAAACCAGAGGTGCAAAAAATTAAACCACTTGGTATCTCCAGTGCCGAATAAGTACAACAAAGTTAAGCTCACCCGAGGGTATTATGAGACGCCATATGAGTCACTGACATCTTGATAGGTGTTTTGTTGACTTGTATAGAAGAGACAAAACGTCCACAGCTGAGAACAAATTGCGTTTGCCTGCTCAAAACTAACAAGAAAACCCCCTTTGGGAATTTCCTTTGTACTTCCTGAAGCCTTACAGGGGAAGTTCCTATTGTTTTGTCTTTGAAACAGAATCTGATGTTTTCACTTTGTTCGACTATTGTGGAAACTTTTTGCACACTGATGTTTGTGCACCTTCACATTTACATCACCCCTCATCCTGCCGTTGTTTTACCATGACTCCAGGTAGAGCAGAGATGCAGGGAAACCTCAAATGTCTCCACTTGCATGACTGTCTAAAAGAATGCGTGTCTCCAAAACTGATACTGCACGTCTTTATCTGCAGACGCCTTTCTGCATTGAACACATATTTTCAACATGATATGCACAGTCAGTATTTGTAAATACTGCAGTTCAGAGATTTTAGTGATGTAACACATTTGCCTATGCAGCGGAGGACTGAATTACAGCATCTTTTAAAATGTTCTAATAGTATAAAAGTAGTCTCAGCATGTAGAAGCATGCAAGTGTCCACTAGGGTCGGGTGACATACATTTTGTCATCAGAGCTCATTCTAGCCTTTCAGCTTGGTGGCCATGTCTTAATCCATTATTTGTCGTGACTTAACTGACCTCACGTGGTTTCTGGAAAATCTGTGATGCTATCATACTCCGGCCTGACCTCATGTCCCGCACCCAGACAGATTTTCAAAATGTCAGTTACAGCACTTATCTGATATGACACTAGCCTCAGCTGTCACATAAAATAAAATAAAGACTCAGTCCTGTGTTGGCATATGTGTTTTTCAGGATCTAAAAAAAAATTCTAATTAAAAGATCAAGTCATCTCAAAACTGTCCCCAAGCAGTTGTCCTATCCACAACACAGGATATTTAAAGAAAGAGCGTTCTGTCCTCTTCATCGGAGACCATTGCTCAAGGGATGATTTCAGGGAGAAAGGGTTGTTCTTGTTATTTCTTGGAAATGAATAAATAAATATATATATTCGTGAAGGAATTGCCTATATGTCCCTTTAGTGCACAAACTGAGAGAGCTACCATTACAGCAAGGCAGCTAGTTTACCATAACAGAATTAAACAACAACTGCTTTGGCCTCTGCAGTTTGCTTTTAGTACGTTAGTTTAAATATTTATACTGCGTCTGTTTATGTACAATTCACTGTGTTACAAGATTCCTTCCCTGAATGTTGCTTAATAGACTGATTTTAGTCTAATAGACTGTTTAGGTAAGCGCATTGTTTATTGACGTGTACAACAAACAAACATGTCTGCAATACTCTGGACACATCAGCTTGCCTGAGCTGAAATTGGGTCATTGGATTTTAGGCTAATGATCACAACTCTCAACTCTGAGCTGCAGTGCAGACGCCTTCAGACCCCGGGATGAAGAATAACCTTGTTTAATCTGAGCAGGAATCAGTAAGATGGAGGGAGGAAGTTTGAACAGGATCATACAACACAGAGTCGTATTGTTTTGGTATTTCTTTTAGTTATGCTGTTTTGTATAATGCTGCCATTGTGTAAGTCCAGACCCAGATTCTGAGCCTCTTAATATCACCCAGAATTCCCCATCACGGGACTAGGTATTTGGCGAGTCTTGCAGCTGCCAGACGACCCTGTTGCTTGCAACTGCACACACACACACACACACACACACGCTGTAAACCAAAACACACAACATCCATGCAGGAAGGATGTGTTTGTTTGTTGGAGAGTTCTATGAGAAGGAAAGAGGATGGAAGTTAAACGTTAAAACATGTTGCAACCCTTAACTCAGAAAAGTGTGTGTCTGTGCGTGCATGTGTGTGTGTATCCGTGCACTCATTTTCGTTACCTCTTTAGGACCTTTTCCAGCATAAACATAAACATGTCAGGACCAAATAATTCTCCTAATAGGGAAAAATGTAATTCCTGAGGTTCTGGTTAGGGTTAAGTTAACATATGATTTGTGACTAAGGTAAGGTCAGTGTGAGGCATGAATTGGTCATGGTTAAGGTTAGGGATAAGGTTTTGTTGAGGCTGTACACAATGAATGGAAGTCAATGCAAAGTTCTAATAAGGATGGCTGCAAGCGTGTGTTAAGTGTAAAGATAAGGTCATAACCAAGTTGGGAAGTTGGGAATGCATTCTGTCAACGAGAGTCCTCTCAAAGGTAGAAGTGTGTGTGTGTGTGTGTGTGTGTGTGTGTGTGTGTGTGTGTGTGTGTGTGTGTGTGTAATGCTAAGGCTGTGGAAGTTTTCACTTTTACAGTTAAAGGGAATTATATAGAAATAATTAAAGCACAGAGCTGTCTTGAGAGTAAGATCTTTATGTTAATGTTAGAGTTAACGTTATAATTTAGGTTATAGTAAGTCTTTAGGGAATGAATGAAAGTCGATGTAATGTCCTCTATTGTGTTTGGAGTAAAGCAAACGATTTAGTACGGTGCTGACATGCAGAAAGCACTGGTAATCTCATGAGCTCTGGGGTCAAGCCTGGAAACAGCCTGGATACTTCTGGCACACAAGATTCTGTGACTCACCTTCCCATAACCAATCACATCCTTTCTCCAGGACAAAAATGTCAAATTCCCACCAGGTTTGCTAGTGTCGAGAGGAATTTCCTCATATCATCGCTTGGAATTCCACAAGTGGTTAAACCTATTTGGGTTTAAAGGAGCTGAGGAGTAGTTTATGCTGCAGCGTGTAGCATTAAACAGCATTAGATAGCATTAGGATCATATTATTGTTGAAAGTTCAGGACTTTAGTGTAGGGAGTTATATAAACAGTAGAATGGGGGCGTGAGTTGGTTTGCATTTGTGTGGAGAAAATAAAGGAGAGAAGTCTCAAGTAAAGAGAAAGAAAGATGTTATAAAAGAGAAAGGCATCACAAGACCTTGCTCCCAACATATAGAAGAAGGTCACGCTTAAATTCTTCAGCATCCGTCTTCTTGTTCTATGACAGTCAGCCATTATTCCTGATCTATCAGCCTCTTATGCCGTTCTGTCTGTCCTCAGAGAAGAGCGCTCTTGGGTAAATGCCATCTTGGATCAGGTGAGATTAAAGGCATGTTTTATTGCTCACCCAGGAGCAGTTAGCCATACATATAAACATGTTCCTGCATTGGGTCCTGGTACTCTCTCTCTTCCTCTGTATAACTCAGCTTACTCATTGAACCTTCTCTACAAAATCGTGAGAGGGCGAAAGAAGTTATGCACAAATGACATCATCTTTGATCGGTGCTGCTCTGTCCTGTGGCGTCACTGTTTTTCATTAAACCTTATTTTCAATTTAAGAAGTGAAACCTATTTATAAGGAATAAAACAAGTTATTATTCAACCTGTTTCTGTTTCTATCTGTCTGTCCTTCATTAGGTTTAATTAAAAACTACCAAATTGATTTCAATGACATTTTGTGGAGGGGTGGGGCCCAACCCAATGAAGAATCCATTACATTTTGGAGTGGATCCAGATAAACAGGCTGATCCTGGATTTTAATTTTTTCACTTTCTTCAAAATGGTGAAACATTAGTCTCGGTGGAGGTATGCACTCTCTGAGCATCCTTCTGTCTGCAGCAGGCAGCTGTTTTCAGTGAAAAATCTCTACCCGCCCACCAGCAGGATTCTTCTCTCAAGAGAGAGTTAGACCAAACAAAGAGGTGAAATGAGTGTGTGTAAGCTGCACTTACATTAAACTGGTGAACGCAAACTGCAGTGTGTAAGTGGAGCACACCTCTGCCAAGGCCAAACAGTCTCCTGATGAAACAATTCCCATTCATTAGATCCAGATTTTTATTTGGATCTGCACCAAAATGCACACACTCATAAATATCCATCTCTTTAACCTGGTTTATGTTTTCATACATTGAAAAGAATACAGAAAGCAATGAAGCTTGCTCCTGAGTCTGACACAGAAATCAGATTTGACTGAATGTAAAGTTTAACAATGTGTCTCCATCTTCTCCAATAATCCTGAAATGAAGCCAAAATATCCAGTATATGAAAGTATGTCACATCGTCCATTTCTATATAGTGAGTCAACGAGAAAAATATTGGCAAACCACTTTATCTGTGGTATAACAAACAATAACAAAGTTACCATCACCTTCAGATACCATGGTCATGACCATGAGAAGACAGGTTGACAAACACCAGAACTTCCCTTCAAGTCTTCATGTTTCTATTAATAGCTCCCTCCATTCTTTTGTCTATATTCTTACTTCCTTTTGCCCCCCCCCCCCATCCATTCCTCCCATTTCTCTTCAGTCTTTGCCGAGCAGAAGATTCTACTGGGACCTCGACCCTTCCCTGCAGATGCACCCAAATCCGAAGCTTCTCTATGCACTGATAAAAGACTCCAGTTGTCAGAATCAGATCTCTGCAATACAATAGATATAGATTGTGTCTTTCATTGTGTAAACACAGAGGAAGTTAGCCTCTGACTTTAGGAAGGGAGCCCAGAAGAAGACACGCAGAATGGGCACTGATATGGGCACAAGCATTGCACCGTTGGTTTCCTAAAAGAATAATGGCCATTTTTATCCATGCATATCAGAAAGAGAGACCTACTGACACACTCAGAGGCACCCCCAGAGCAGGGATTGGACAGCAAAAGAGAGAGAGAGAGAGAGAGAGAGAAAGCCCTTCCTTCCCTCCCATCCATAGCTGCTTTACAACCAGTTGTTCCTTTCAGAGTGGGGTGTGAGCGCAGGGAGGTGGTAGCATCTGGGCACTTGGACTCCTCCACCATCTCACATAGACTCAACACCTCTCGCGCACCCGGCCCCCTTTTTTCATCAACCACCGTGGACTGGTGATGGATTCTAGGCTGCTGATTGTACCGGGGATCCCCACATCGGACCCGACCGTCCGGGCACCCTGGAACATCAGCTCCATCAGTCCGCACCGGCTCATGGAGCTGTCACCAGTCGCCACAACTGTGAGTGTATTGTTCACTTTTTTCCTCCCTTTCTTTTGTATTGTTGTTGTTGTTTGGTTTATTGTGGTGGCCGGGAGGAAAACCCATTACCGGAGGGTATCCGTGCGCCGCAGCGATGCGTAATCGCGGGAGGACCCGATCCAGAGGTGCCAACTCGCCACATCTGGCGAAAAGAAGGAGAATGCACCACGGCAATTCTTTTTTTATGTTGGTTGTTGTTTTGTTTTTCATACCCTCGTCACATCATTAATACAAACTGAATAATGCAGTGCGAGGGAGAGTGTGGAGGAGAAGTTAACTCCATGAATGAATGAGTCACAGCAGCATCCCCTGCGCTTCAGCGCTCCGTTCATTCATCACCGAATCGATCCTCTGGTGTTTCCTCAGCGCGTATTCGTGGAGAAAATGCTCCTAAAACACAGATGTGGTGGGTGATAATGCGCAACTGTGCAGGTCGTGGATGCTTGTTGATTTTTTGTTAATGATTATCCTTTTTAATGACTCCAGTCCACGTACCTGTCAGTCTTCCTGCAACATTTCAGATGACTTTCGAGAGTTGCACCAAATGACGTTGATTCCAATGTTATCACAGTTTCTGGCTCCTGGAAAGTCTAAGATCTGTGGTCTAATGCAAAATGTGTGTTTTCATTACCAAGTGTGATGGATGAATCAGACTCTATCTCTCTCCCTCTTTGTCTGAGTGTGGAATTAGTATACGCACAGCCTCCAGGGAAATCCTTTCGTACAGATGTGTGACAATGTATCTCTGCACCGCCAGTAAAAGAAAAAGTAAAAAATAAAATAGGCTGCTTTTTCTTCGCCCTCAGGAGTCCAGGGAGACACAGTGTGCATGAATTGAGAGAGAAACAGCTGTTTAAAGGCATACTGAGAAACACAAGGATGCACCACTATAGCAAATGTAGTTCAACAAGTGTGAATGGTTGAGTTTGGATGCTGACTTTGAAGTGCAGACCTCCAGGCTTCAGTCTCTCAAGGTTTTGTGGTCTGGACTTCTTGGTGGGAGTGCAGAGAAAGCTGATACTGAAGCGGTGCCTGAGGGCAGCTTCTGCTGAGACAGATGGGATCTTCTACTGCAGAACGAGCATGGTTTTCATTTACAAACTTTCCAGGTTCTTTCACTCCAGAGCTCTTGTTTCCCTCCACCACTGTTGTTACTCTGTCTCTCTTAATCCTCCTTCTCATCTACAATCCTGCATCAATTATTAAAAATATGGGTCTAATTAATGAATATATTTGCATATGTGTGAACACACATTTGTGCAGGGAAGCATCTGTGAATAAAAATCCTGTTTCTGTGATTGCTTGTGTCATTTTCTGTGTATTTATGGACATGTCAATAAGTTCTACAATGCATAGTGTAAAACAGAGACATAGTGTTTCTCTGCATGTGCTTGGGTGTGTGTGTGTGGCCCCTGTCCTGCTCAGCAGTTGATTAGATTGGGTTAGCTGATAAACAAAAGAGTTGGCCTCTGAAATTGCTGATAGTCTTTTGCTTGCCGGCTCAGACTGTTAACTACTTGCTCGTGTAGCAGACTCAGTGGGCGGATGTTCAGTTCAGTTGTGCCTGATGGTGCCTGTCTACTGTAGCGGCAACTTACCACAGAGGTGGTTTTGAGTAACTCCTGTGGCAGGTGTTTATCTCTCTGTTTGGGACACGTTTTGTCACCACAGGATAGTGTCGAAATAGACTGTAGACTATAAAGACGGCCGACGTGTCTCCTCTTCCATTTGTCCATCCTTCCATTATCTACACCACTTATCCTTGAGGGGTTGCGGAGGAGCTGGAGCTGATCCCCGCTGACTCTGGGCGAGAAGCCCACTAGCCAGAAATGAAGCCAAAATTTCCTGTAAAAAATACAAACTCTGCCATCTTGCACATTTGGAACCAGAGTCTGTGCAGTAGTAAACTGGGGATGGAGCCACACTATCAAGTTCCCACTGATAGACATGCTCGATCAATCATCTTTGAGGAAAAACGTGACTGTATTAAAGGGCAAAGAGCCATGAAATGACACATAGAACAGAAATACCTTTGTCAGAGGTGTCCAGTCAAACTGCCCGTGTGGTTACTAGAAATTCATGGACACCTGTCAACCTGAATAGATCTCCTGGTGCTCAATTATTACTGCTCAATCACTGAGTCTCATTAAGTCCCATGAAGCAACATGTGTTGTGAGTGGCTACTGATTCAGATAACAGACCTGTTTATAGTGAAAACACAAATCTTTACTGTAAATAAACCATTGCACTGATATTTAATGATGCTGTCACCACGTGTACTTTTCAAGGCTGCTGCAGACTCATGTAGTTTCTGTTTTGTACATGCAGGATACTTTGTCCATGTACACGTAGAGTATGTTGCCTATACACAAAGGCTCTTACAACTAGAAGGGGAACTCAGTGGAGCATGTACCTCCACCAAGGCCCAACCCTGTCCCAGTCCCCTAAAATTCAATACACACTCATTTATGTCACTTCTATAATTAGTCATATTTTTTCATGGAGATCCATAAATTACCCACAGGGACATTGGTGAAAATGACTAAAAATGTAATAACATTACTAGCATTATTAGTAATTACACTACATTACACTACACATAGAGGAGACTTCCACGCTGCTCACAGTTTCTCTTCTTCCACCTTGCCGTGGGATCACCAGTAATCTGGCCCAGGGCTGCTCAAGCTGGGAGACAGAAGAGATGAGAGGAAGCAGGAGGATGGAAAGGAGTCATCGAGAGAAGGAACAGATGTGAAGGAGGGAATAAACAGGGATCAGGGTTGAGTGAATGAAGAAAAGAATCAAACAAAGGAGGGAGGAAGAGTTTGATCCACCACCATCACAGATGACAGCGTCTGACTGGACCTTCATGTGTTTACATTCCACACACATTCCCCTCTTTCAGCAACACATCCCCACGACCTTTTCACTCATTTGCTTACATAACCACTCCATCACTTCTCACTGTACTATTGAAATAACCTCCTCACCGACAGGAGCTTGTGACTCCGCAGGAATAAAGTAGGACTGCTGAGACAGATGTCAGATTTGTACGCAGGGAGACGCAGAGAGACGCAGAGAGACGCAGAGAGACACACATGCACACTTTGGATGTGAACGCCAGGATTAGTGAAAGGATATGTGTGTCATCTAGTTGAGCGCTGGGATGGTGGCTAAGGAAGATTGAGCAAAGAGAAAATAGTTAGTGGGTGTGAGTAGGTTTGTGTGTGCTAGTTTAGTATGCTTTGCATCGTGACGACCAGGTTGAGTTTGAAATCTTTAGAGGACGTTGTGAGAGAGTGACGATATGTTTGTGACACATATTCAAAGAGCTGTGTGAGGATTAAGACTTAGTTATAGGGTTAGAGTAAGGTGTGTGTGTGTGTGTGTGTGTGTGTGTGTGTGTGTGTTTCCTTGACAAAAAAAATATGTTCGTATCGATTCAGAAAGAATAACCTTGTTTTATATTGGATGTACGACTCTTCAATGGTTTTTTGTCCTTAAAGCCACACCAGTAAACTTTCATGACACACTTGCAAACACAATTCCCATTTAAAACCTGCACTGTTGACATCCATGTTAATAAGTCTTTTCTCCACCTCCTTAGTTAGCCCACTGCTCAGTATGAGTAGTGACCCCTGGATGATCTGGAGCTTACGACAAACAAAATGTGTTCCCACTTATATTAAGCTAAGTCGCACAATTAGTGGTTCAAAATTCTACAATGTACCTTAAAGTACAACTTTGGGGTGCTGCAAAGTATTTTATACCTCTATTCCACATATAGTATATTTTAGATGAAAATATTTTCATTGCAATGGCTTTACAAAATAGTTCACAGCATATCAGTTTGCAGCTCTGATGAATCATTAATCCCTACACTCAGGGTCAAGACCTTACAATATAATAAAGAGAGAGAGAGAGACCGGGAGCTGTTGCATAACTGATGTATTTAAAGCACTGTCAGACCAGTTGTTATAAAGGCAATATAAATAGTGATACCGATATATGCAATACTATTATTAATAATAACAGCACCAATAATCATAGTAGTAAAGATAATAATGTTGATGATAAATTATAGGGTAATGATAACAATAGTTGACAAGTAATGTCAGATCTGGATCCTGCAGCTCTGCAGTTAGAGGAGAGAGAAAACACAAAGTTATTCACAGGTAGTGATATGATATAAATACATGGAGGGGAGAGGGGGGCAGAGATAGAGAGAAGTGCCCAGTGCATGATGGGAGTTCCCCCAGCAGTCTAGCAGTCCTCCTGAACCCAAACTGGGAGCTGGTTCCACAGGAGAGGGGCCTCATAGCTCAACACTCTATTTCTAATCGTACTCTGAGACTGTTCTCAGACATGTTCCTGTAGTGACCTCCTGTTCAGACATGAAAGGCAAAATCCAGAGACAGTCTGAACCAAATTGTCCCGGCGTTTTCTGCAGTTCCTGTCTGAAAACAGCAAGAAACGATAGGTGGCCCTTCACTTTGGGGGCAAATTGATCCATTAGGATAACAAAGAAGGCTACTCTGCACTCTTTAGGATGTACTTGCACTGTGAAATGATGTAGCTTATTCCTAACTTAGTAATTTTCCACTGCAGCATTTTATCAACTCTGTTAGTGAAGAATATAAATGTATCTTCAACCTCTGCTTTATGGTATAACTCTCCTTTTACTGTTCTATTAAATGAGACTTTTCAAGACCTTGTCAGTGCCAGATACTGTGAGGCAGTGAAAGCTGTGTCAGGGACCTTGTAGAACTTCTCAGTTGCTGACAGAGTTCGATAGATGATCTCTTGATGACCTTCAAAAAAGAAAGAGACGGGAGCACAAAGTATGGATAGAGTGTCTATCTTCTCTTAGCTCTTTTAATAGGATGAGCTGTTCAGAGTGAGTGTGAATGATCACCTGAAGTCATCTATAATCTTTAAAATCAAACTTCAAGTCGATTATTGTCACCCTGATTATTAATTAGTCATTAACTAATTAGTAAATCATAAAATTATTAGTTAAATTATTATTATAGTTAATTGTGTATTTGTGGTGTAAAAAGAACATTCAGGGTGGGCTCCAGACAAAGTGGATTTTCTCTCCTTTCAAGGCTTTAATGTTATACTTGCAGACAGTACAAATTTTGCCCACCCAATAATATGTCAACTGCAGCCCAGTTAATGGCAGAAGACATGCAGGGTGAATTATAAAATTTATTTGAAATATCTTTTCTTTTCTCTACATGGTTGCTTCACCCAGAGTTAAAATTAGAAGGTGATATGGGGAATTAAAAAAGGGTGCTGCCACAGAAACTATTATTTTATTATATTGCTTAGGATAATGTGCCCATAATGAAATGTAAAACAAGAAAAGGGAGCATGGAAAATACAAACTGATATCGTCAAACAGCAATTTGAGAGTAAAACGTTTATGTGTAGTTAAAAGTACAGAAATGGGAGAATAGAATAGCTTATATATAAATACTTGAACGCAAAAGCTTAAACTGGAATTGTTTAATTAAAATGGAAAATAGCCTGTATTATATTTTTTTGAAAAGGAAAAAATATTATTAACATATACATTATATGTCTTTTTTACATTTTCCTCCCATCCATTTTCCTTTGGCCTTTTCTATTTGGTGTTCATCATTTTAATTTTCACATTTCATATGTAAATGAGGGGTTGTGGCTTTTTTCAAGATTTCAAAATACAGTTCCTTTTTCTCCCTTTATGTTTTTCAATTTGTCCCTTTTATTTTCATCCAAACCAAAATCAATGACCTTTCCAATATAATTCAGGCTCCAAGTGATCAAATGATTATGGGATCTGTCTTTCTTTCTTTTGGATTAAAATGTTGTCAGTCCCTGACTTTCCTTGCGTCATGATTAATTGATCTTTGTTTTCTTTCACTAGAGCTCCATAGTTCCAAGCCACCCGTTTCCGACGGTCGACGTCCCAAACCATGCTCACTACACCATCGGTGTTGTCATTATGGCTGTGGGCATCACAGGCTTGCTGGGAAACTTCCTGGTCATATATGCTTTCTGCAGGTACTGTGGTTTTTAGGCTTTTGTATACTTTAGTACACTTTTTCTAAAGGTAATATTGAGATTTCAGTTTAAATCATAGTCCAACTTTGTGTGTGTGTGTGTGTGTGTGTGTGTGTGTGTGTGTGTGTGTGTGTACATCCGTGTGTACATCCGTGTGTACATCCACGCACAGGAGCCGGAGCTTGCGGACGCCATCCAATATCTTTATCATTAACCTGGCAATCACAGACTTCCTCATGTGTTTCACCCAGACGCCCATCTTCTTCCTCACCAGCATGCACAAGCGATGGATCTTTGGGAAGAAAGGTAACACGTGCACCCACTGTGACATTTTAGCTTCATTACATATCATTTTACACTTGTGTTTAATGAGCAAATGCTGCACATCTAATCTAATGCCCCATCCTAAAGAGAGTCGTGATATTAAAACACTCACATGTACCTGCACGCACAAATATCATTAACATTTATGCACATGCACTTTGAATTCTGCTGGTACCTGAATAGTTTCCCTTCCTTTATGAAGGTGACCTACAGTTCAATTAAGATTCTGCACGCATACACACACACACACACACACACGCACACAAACACACACACACACACGTTTGTACTTCTATCTCAATAAGGACACTCATTGGCATAATGCATTCCCTCGCCCCTTACCCAAACCATCCAAACTAACTGTCTTGCCCTAACCTAAACCTAAAACCAAGTTTTAACCATCAAACAACCCATTGTAGAAGTATTATTCACCTACTGGCCTGGTATTCTTGTATGATCATCTATAATTGTAGTGTTCTCGTCTGGATGGAGATCTTTTGTGAATTCTTTCTTTTCTTTTAAAAAAGACAGAGAGGTGTGTACATTATAAAAGAGGTCAAAGATACATGAGATAAATGGAAATCACAAAGCAAAAGCCAACTTAGCCTTTGTTTGTGTTTATCCATCCATTTTTAGAATTCAAAAAGTCATAACTCCCCTGCACTCTTTGATGACTGGGAGTCAGTTGTTCCTAGAGGATCAAGTACATGTACATCTTTTTTTCCAACTTGCATGAAACCAGGTGAACAGAAACACATCTGCACTCCTTACAGTTTATTGCAGGACTTTATGAAACAACCTTTCCATGTTTGATATCATTTACATGTACTCACGATCTCGACCTGACTAAAAAAATGCCCCAGGACTTCACAATATTGTTCTTCAGCTCCAGAGAACATCTGCTGTTCCTTGGGAGCCAATCTGGACTTGATTAGTTTCGGTAACTTTAAAAAGGGGCTGCCAAACTCACGCAGCCAGTAAGGACAACACACACAAAGTCATTGTGATGCATATTTCATTGCCTGAGTGGTGTTTGTTTGAGTTTCTTCACACCGGTGACACTCTTAAAATTCTTTCAGTCTTGTGCTTGGATGTGACTTTCCGCTGTGGCTACATGATGTGTGACAGGTCCATGGTAATCATACACTCAGGGACCTGAGGGACACGGCACATAAAGTGAAGATTGAATGTTTGCATTTAGACAGTGTGTAGTGTGTCCGTGTCTGTGTGTATGGACTTGCACATATCTGTAAGCGTGCATGACTGTGTGTATCAGATTCTTTCATACATTATGGATACATTTAGCATAATAATAGACTATCGAGAGCAGCACTCTACATTATGGGTGAAAAGAAACATGTTAGAAGTCAACAAGCCCTCGGAATCAAAACCTTGCACTGCACGTAATAGCTTCATTACTGTATGTTCAACATGTATTAAATATTTATTAGGCATGAATACTGGATGCTGTTTGTGGATTCCATACTTTTCCCATCCTCACTCCTGTTAACACTCATAATTTTTTGCTCTCTACGATTTATCAATCTATCACTTTTTTATTTATTTTACAGAAAGCCCCAACTCATACTTCCCCTTAGTTTCCTTTCCTTCATTAATTACTTCATTTCCATTCCCTCCTATTCATTATTCCACCTTTTCCATTCCCTCTGTCCTTCTGCCTTTTGGCTAAACTCTCCTATTTCTTGCCTTTCCATTCTCCCTACACGTTTAAGCTTCCATTTCTTCTTTCTGTTTTTCCTTACCTACTTCAATTCAAATGGGCTTTTGTTAATGTCAACATACCAATCTAATGTTAGATTTTTAGCATCCAAATACAGCTGATGGCAACAGGAAGACACAAGTGCAAAATCTGACCCGTAAAGTGTCAACAGGATTCTTCTCATAGGATCTCAAATAGAGCAGGTGTAAGTTAAAATTGGATAATCTGTGTTTTTCAGCCCATAAGTAAAATGAAACACTACACTGCTTCTTCCTTCCTCCCCTACAGGTTGTGAGTTGTATGCCTTCTGCGGAGCGCTCTTTGGTATCTGCAGTATGATTACACTGATGGTGATTGCGGTGGACCGGTATGTGGTGATCACCAGGCCTCTGGCCTCTCTTGGGGTGATGTCTCGCAGGAAAGCCCTTAGCATCTTGGCTGTTGCCTGGGTCTACTCAATGGGCTGGAGCCTTCCCCCCTTCTTTGGCTGGAGTAAGTACAATTACACTCAAATATCTGGAGACCAAGTCTTTATTGATTAGTGTGAAACCTCTGAGGGATTTCATTTGTTCTGTCCTCATACTTACTGCACTGTTTTTATTCGTGTCACCATCTCAAATTCCTGCTGAAAGGTGTACTACTATCAATGTCACTTTGCCCTTTCTTAACATGCCAAATACATTTAATATAAAATCAGCTATCAGAACTCAGATCATCTCATGCTTACATGTAGCTGACCTTATAGCAGCCTTGCAGCATTTGAAGAGGCTATTGAGTCTAACTCCCCTACAAGCTTTTCAGGTTCCCTGTGTTGCTTGTGCTCCCAAATGGGAATTACCTGATGGGTTGAAACCCAGTAACAGGAACTCCTGTCTGGACGATTCAAATTACGAAGGGACCAACGAGTGCAGCAAAACACTGTCAGTATTTGAAACTGGGGAGAAAAATTCCATGCACATTAAAGTGTCAACTGCATAAAAGTTCATCACTGACAGCGTGTAGAATAGTAAAGGGCCAAGTATAGAGCCCTGGGGAACTCCAATAGCAATAACTTATTTATGAGTGTATTCCTTGCATATGTTTTGTACCATTATTTTCAGAATGAAATTACTATGATTTCCTTGTTCAGCCATTGGGAAGGCTATGTTTCTGCATTTAATTTAAATAATATAATAACTGTATGATGATATATTATATAAATACAGTCATATCCTTGTGCATAGTACATTTCATCACAGGTTTTCAGTTTTTCCATATTCACAAGTTTAGAAGGTTGAACATATTGTATTCAGTCAGAAACTACATGTGTTCGAAATTCTTCCACCCTGCAACCGCTTTGCTTGAGTGGATGTTTTCCACCAACAATTCCCCCGGGGTTCAGAGCTGTTACCTCCACAACAACTTAACACAACATGCAATAAAAGTGACATATGGTTTCCTTCCGTGTCTAGAAAAAAGAGAAATACTTGTGTTGTTGCTGCTATATGTTATTTCAAAATCATTGTTTGTACGTGTATGGCTAGTTGTGTTGTTTTGTGTTTTCATATGTGTGAGATGGTGGATGAGCTCCCATAAAGAAAAGACTTGTGGTGTGCATACCAAACACTACAAATGATTATTTCCAAAGCAGAAACAACCTGAGAGAGCTCCAGCCACTTCCTCAGATGGATTTTGCCACTTTGGTCCCATTTATTAAAGCCCAAGCTTGAATGGTGGTATTATGTAAGCTACAATACTGCATGAATTTGAATAACATCCTTTTTAGTTAAACAAGCTTTTGTAGGTACTTTAGGGACCTCAACCATCAGTAAAGATATATTTTCAAAATAGTTTTATCAAGACTACAAAATGTGTCATTTATTTTTATTTATATTAATTTACAGGGGATCATGTGTGGGACCACTTAACATTTGTACTGTTTATGAGGTACTATGTGCAATTCAGCTCTGTCAGGTCATTCTAAGGAGCCTCTACTATTGGAGGACAGCTGTTAAGACAGATGGGTCTATTTTACAAATGAAAACATTTCAATGTCTTTCAGATGGTGGGAAAGCAGGACATTGTAAAATAAAGAAACTGACATAAAATAGTAATTGTCAAACTTCACAACGTACTTAAGTACATTTGTTCTCTCACAGGTGCCTATGTCCCGGAGGGTCTGATGACGTCCTGCTCCTGGGACTACATGACGTTCACCCCTTCTGTCCGCTCCTACACCATGCTGCTCTTCACCTTCGTCTTCTTCATCCCTCTCTCCATCATCATCTTCTGTTACTGCTGCATCTTCAGGGCCATCCGACACACAACACGGTCAGCACCTGAACACACACCCGCTGCTTATGTAGGGTCATGCTCCTATACTACTTATGTGTTTACCCTTGCAATACACACACTCCCACATGCTGTGATGAAGACATGAGTGGGTGTGTGTGGATCCTGATGTCTGTGTCTGGCCTTTTTTATTGATTTCAACGGATGTCTCTGTCCACCTGAACATGAATACTGCCTGGTGAGGTGATGCTGGCAATGTGAACTAGGCAATGATAAAATATACATTATATATCTAAATCAAATAATTCCATTTTAAAAATGAATAGTAAATGGTAATTAACAGTAAACTACTTTTTAGGTAAAATATATGAATGGCAAAATTAATTTAAACTTACAATTCATCTTGACATGTCTGTGTTTGATAGAGCCATAGCAAAGATCAACTGTGTGGGAAACCGAGACTCAGCAAAGAGGTTCCACAAGATGAAGAGTGAATGGAGGATGGCGAAGATTGCATTCATTGTCATCCTGCTGTTTGTCATCTCCTGGGCCCCTTACTCCTGTGTGGCCCTCACTGCATTCGCTGGGTAGGTGTGTATGTGGGCATATTTAATGAAAGAGACATTTATTAGAATGCAATGCTGTCCAATCCTATCTATACGGACAGAAGACTGGCAATCCACTCTATTGTGGAGGGGGTGTTCTTTTATGATACAGTAGTGCGGATACTCAAGGGTTATAAGCTGCAGGAAGGAATGACATGCGATATCTCTTCTCCAGACACGGATCCCAGTGATAGACTGATCCACCCTAAGTCTCTGAAGGAAAGGTGTCACAGGTTTTTCCTTCCTGCAGCAGAACAACCAGCTCTGCTCCCACTAGACCGCAAGCACCTATTATGGACTGCACTTTAACTCAGGTTTAACTCAATTAACTATGCAATATTCATTTCTGTCTGTGCAAGTCAATGGCTTATGTGCAATCCATTTGACTGTATGTATACCCACACCATATATATTTTTTATGTACTTACATTTATCTGTATTGCAATTTTACTAAATTAATTCACCAATGTCTATTTTGACTTAGTAATGACTGTCTTTTGGAAGCAGAGTGGTGCAGTCAGTAAAATCATTTGTAAACCAGTGAAAAGTCATTTTTAATTGATAGGATCATTGGTACATTTCAAACACTTTTATCGACTTTCTTCACACCCACACATCTTATTGAGCGTCTGACATTTTATACATTCTGCTGCAGCTTAAAGTCATCATTTTAGAATTCTGTTTTCCTGTATGTGCACATATGAAATCTTTAAAGAAAAACACAAACCCAATGTTGAATGTGGGTGTGACTGTGTGACCCACATCCCCTCTGCTAATCTCGCACAAGGCAACACACCGGCTGCCCTTGTCTCATGAATATGTTTCATTTCCTTCTCTCATTTTTCTTCCTCTCAACAACCTATGTCCCTGGCCCTCTCTCCCTTCTGTCTCTCAGGTACGCTGACATGTTGACTCCCTACATGAACTCTGTTCCTGCTGTGATCGCCAAAGCATCTGCCATCCACAACCCCATCATATACGCTATTACACATCCAAAATACAGGTATGATGCTCACACACATACCCGTGTTGAGTTTCATTAGCAGAAGATTAACCTAATGGTGTAAAACATCTCACATACTATTATTGGAGACTCAACCATGCCTCATTGTATTTTAAAATCAATTTCCCTTTATTTGCTAAACCATCATAAAGTAGAATATTATTTCTCTTTATTTATTTTACTTTTTTTACTATGTGATACTGAGTGACATTCTCAGTTAGCAGATGTAGCGTTGCCAGATATACATAAGCAGCCAAAAATGCCCAGTCACGCTTCTCGTGGTTCTTATGAAACGTTTTAGATATTTACCTGGTGGACAGTTTGCATCTGTGCTTCCAGAATTCAATTGCTCTCTTTTGGATTGAAAGTAAAAACTGGGCTAATATAGCTGAACATCACGCTCCACTGGGGTCTAATTGATTCGATCATCAGTGTGAATTCTTCTGTCAGGTCAGCTCTCAGCAGGTACATACCCTACCTCGGGGTGTTGCTGTGCATTACTGGCAGGGATCGTCTAAGCAGCAGCTTCCAGTCCACCCGCCGCTCAACCCTCACCAGCCAATCAGAGGGCAAAGGCCCCAACAAGGCCCGCCACTCCTCCCAGTCCGAGAGCGAATCAGTGAGTGTCCCTCATATCTAATATGGTATGTGTCTGTCATACACTTCCCTTGACATATGATTTGAAATATGAGTTGCTGATTTCAGTCTTGTGTGTGTGTCTGTGTATATATCATTTTTCTTCTGTGTGTGTGTTGTCTCAGGCCCATTTCTCAGACACGGAAGAAGACTGCTCCTCTCGGACGTCTGTCACTCGTCAGTTGTCCACTGATGTCAAACACGTGCGCCATGCGAGCCAGAGGTTAAAGGTGAGAGGTCATAGCGCAGGAGAATTTGAGAGAGCGGCCGCCCACAACCCCACTGACCCAGCCATATGTCACCTCTCACAGATCACTGTGAGTATATATCCACATATATATCTTTGATATAGACTCACATGTATTAAACTGAAGCTTTGTCAGAAAGTCATACATTTCCAACCTAGATGCTCTTTATGTCATCAGACTGAGAATTCAGGCTCGGTGTAAATTTTCTCACCATAGTTTTCCAATGTTTTTGATGGGGGGGTCCCGCTTCTGTTTTGTCATTACGTCAAGGCCAATCTAAATCCCCCCTCCTGAATACGAGAAGTGAGGTCATGTTGTTTTGGTGTCCTGTTAAAGCCAATAGACGTCGTGTTTATATACGGTATCTCATGGCGAGTAACTATGTGAGGTCACGTCGATTGGAGCCCTCGTAAAAATCCAGCCTTCTTAAGGTTATTAACAGGAAACTTCGGAGTGTAATCTGATGAGGTCACGCTGCTGAGGTCCCCTGTAAAAAGTCACTGATTGCACTGAGTTGTTGACTTTGTGATTCCAGTATTTTTGTATCGCTTTCCGTGTTTCCTCTAGAGTCATGACACACTGAACTGCACACATGTATCCTTTGAGCTTCGTTTCAATCGTTTAAATGTAGAAATACAGAAAAATGTACATACTTGCAAGGATCCAGTAGCTCCAGTCAAGCACGGGTTTGACTGAATTTGCTATAAACCAGATTTGCAGCCAACCAGCATTCCCTAGACTAGAATAGTTTCATCTCTCAAAATTTGGCTAAATGCTTTAAGTTATGGCCGCTAGAACTTTAAGTGAACACATCATCTATAAATATTCTGCTGTCATCAAAGTAATCCATAATAACACCCATTGAGACTGGCTTGAATCTAGTGGAGGGTATTAACTGCTCACATGTATGTTTTTGATTCTACAAATAACCAGTGTTGTAATGTTCATATCCCATCCTGCACATATGGGCTTTAATGGAACATTCTGCCTTTAACAACCTGGATTTTTAAGACTTTTTTTGTTACCAATCATCACTGAGATGCAGGGACATGGCATTAAATCAGTTGTAAAAGTTTTACTATGCCCTGTTTGGCTTAAATATAATGAACCACTTATGTGGAGGTGAAGGTGAACGCTCAGTCGGCCAGTTTCTCTCCTCGGCGCAGCCTATGTACGTGACGTGGATGTGAATGTTGCATCGTCACATAGTTTGATTTTCTCTGGGACAAGAGTGAATTTGAGGGACACGAACTTATCAATTTGCGATATTACAGATTACGATTCTATGTCATCTCTGTGTTTCGATTTGTTCTTTAGTAGTAATGGCGCCTGCAGAACTGCTTTGTTAGATGTTTGTCACTGAAGACATGATAACCTGGGTCTTTCTTGAACTTCCTTAATGTCGTCTACACTCTTGACAAATTCATCAGCCTTATGAGTCCCATGTGGTTCCTTTTTTATGGTGTAGCCCTATAATTACATTTTACACATCAACTATTCAGTAGCCGGAAACTGAGAGCCAATGCATCTGTCAGTACAGCACAGTCCCTTAATGGCTTTGAGGACAGTGATGCATGTGCATGTCTATGGACAGATACAAGTGGTTTCAAAGAGGACGGCAGGAAGCCATGTGTGTCATACATCTATGACACTCAATCAATAGCAAAAGTGGTCTGCAACACCACCAGAGTGTGGCTACGAGACCCGAGTGGGGCCAGATTTGGATAAAAATGTTTAATTTATATTTTTAGGTTTGGGTTGGTCGTGTTGGCTTAACATGTCTATAGTCAGGGAAAACAAGGAATAACTGTGAACAGAAACGCAATACAACTTAGATCGAGTCAATCATCGGGTCAGTTTCCAACACAAAGACACAATTCCTGTCAGGTTTTGGGTTAGTTTTTTTTGGGGGGGGGCTTGACCAGGTTTGGACAGAGAAATGCATCCCGAGCTGCACTCAAGACACCACCTATACGTCACTTAAAATTCCATCTTTATATTCATTTACACCTTGACTCATGAAGTGTTGACCAGAGGAGCTGGTCCTCCTGTTCACGGTTATTTTATATCTCCAGTGCAAAGCTCTTTGCAATCCTTGCAGCATTGTTTGATAACCCTTTTCAAGCAAAAGCCATTCATAACTTAAGGCCTCAGTTATCCTACCTACCTCATAGCAACTTCAAGTGGCTGCTTTTTCAGCACAATAGGCAGCTTCATTACCAGCACACAAGTGGTATTCTTAAATGCAGCCTCTAAAGGATGTAGGCCCAGAATTGGGACACAGTTACAGAGAGTCTTTTCCTTTTGTGTTCCAGGCAAATCAAATGACCCAAAAACGTTTGACTTGAATGATCACCTTTGTCTTCACTGCCAAATCAATGGTTTGAAATAATAAATTATAGTCTTGTTAAAACAGTGGCTGGTAAACAGGAAAAGGAAACGCTGGAGGCAATTTTCAACATGGTTTGTGTGGACAGCAATTCCTATAAAAAGCATCACGATGTTGAGCCAATGAAAAGTCAGAGGTCACCCCATTTGGAGCATCCAATATATGGAGCATTTCCGTTTCTCTGTAATCATCTTATCTCACATTCCACATGTACGCACATATGCAAACACACATATACAAGCGCATTGCCACGCAGGTCAGGTTCATTGAGGACTCCATTACAGAGGGTCCAAAAACTAATCCAGTAATCTGGGAGTTTCAGACTTAATCCAGAGATTGCATGGATTGAAACAACGTTTAGTGTACTGCACATGTTAGCAGACGAAGACGGCAGATTCTCTCGAAGTCTCTGACCTCCATCTGCTTCCATCTCTGCACAGAGCAGAGGATATATACATAATACACTTCAACTCTTATCTGTAATCATAGTTTACCTCCTTGTATTCGTGCGAACAATGTCACGTTCATCCAGAAATTACACAAAAGGTACTTTTACTTATGTATTTTCCATTTTAAATAGTTTACCTTTTACTTCACTACAAAGTTTCAGTCCATCTGGTATTAAACTCAACTGATTTTCTGCTTTTTTTAAGACAAAAATGATATTTTACTTTTCATATAAGCACTATGTTAGCTCTATTGCTTTGAGCAAAGCTACACATTAGTGAATATGGCACATTGGCTTCTTAAAGCTCAGTTTATTTTAGTTTATGGTTAGTTTTCTTATAGGGGCAAACAGTTGCCTCTGGCCCTGCCTCTGGATCCACCCATTATCCACCATTTTCACGCTTATAGCGTCTCGGCTCAATTTAAATATTTACCAGAGAGACCTTAGAGCAATATTGATCTTCTCTTGTAACTCTCAATAAATCAACTGAAACTAACTGTCTCCAAAACGATGGAAAAACAACATGACATGTATTTTTCAAGTGAGATATTCCTTTGTCCATGGTCACATCTCAATTTGAATCACTCTTTATTTAGTGAGTGTGTGACCTAAAGGCCTGAATGCAACAAAAAATCTTTTGAGAACGACCAACACTAAATGGCTGTGTTTATGTGCATACTGTTCAGACTCTGACAGAGCCTGAGGACATCTCCATGTCGGACATCAGTCTGCAGCCAACCAGTCAACTGCCTGCTACTGTAAGGGTTCCCCGAATGTCTGCCTCCTGCTCTGTGCAGTAGATGTTGCATTTTTGTGCATCAAGAAAATGGACAAATCCCATGAAAAAAAAGCAAAAATTCACTACTAACAAAAGTATTACCTTTAAAAAATCTGATTTATTTTATACATCTAAGTCATAGAACTTAATCTTTATCCAAAAACTATTGAAACCTCCTTCTGTTATCACTTTGTATACCTCGCAGGTCATTGTTATTGTATTGGTGTCATAAAATAAATCGATTTTATTGACTAGTCAAAATAAATTATATCAATATTTTTATTTTGAATTCAGTCTTTGCAGTGTAGTGCAGTCATTTAGTGTATCTGCTTCAAGGTCAATCCTGTTGATAATTAACTTTTGTTATTGCAACATACATACAAATGATTTAATGTAAGTAAGAACCTTTTCCTGTAATGACAAATATATAAATATGTATTTGGTTAAGTGGCAAAAAATCATTGTATCTGATATAAAATGATATAACAAAATGAAATGTGTGTATTTAAATAGGAATAATTTGGTATATAACTAATAAAATATCTAATTATAAAATACAAAGGATCTCATTAAAACCAGATTGTGTCTGGTTAGCAAATTTTGTTGTTACAGTGCCAATAGCACTCTTATGTATTAACATTAAATGGATTCTTTGTTTTAGAAAATTGAGAAATGTAATTATCCTGACAAATTAATGAGGCAGCTTCTTTTTTTCATTCAGTCAGAGTCAATTTGAACCATACAGTCGTCTTATATGTGTCATTGGTATAAATTATTTTAGTTTTTTGTCTTTTCAAGGGATTTGTCGGCAATAATGAAGAAGAATTACTGCTGCAGCTTTATTCTTCAACTTATTAGTTTTTACCTTTCTTGCTCAGATGTTGTATTCCCTTGTGTGTTAGAGCAATGTGAAGAGGCTGATGTCACCTATTCAGCTTGGTGATTCCACTACAAAAAACATGAGGTTTGATAGCACTGCTGACAAATCAGTTTTACAGTACGTGTTAAGTACTTTAAAATGGTTGGCATGTCTCTTCAGTACTTCTGTTTCCCCCTGTTCATTCTAGTTGATCCAATCAACGGTGTTTTTCATCTTCTCCTGTTTCATTCTAGTGCTACTGCTCTGACATCAATATTAATCAAACCAGACAATCCAAAGCTTAGCAGCTTCGACCTGACATCCTCCGCTCATACTTTCACATCCAATCCTGTGACCATGTGATTGTGATACCTCCTCTGGAGTCATCTACCATCACTACAAAAGTGTGGTGTGAATGACACGACAACTTCCTTATGATAAAAGCCCCACAGACAGTTTAGAGAAAAGAAAATTGTTCTAATACCAATTTCAAATAAAGAAAAAAGTCTTATTTACACAAACTTCTAGATATCCTTAAAATGTGCATCACCAATTTTGAAAATTATGTTTTATAACTTGAGGCTTTTTACATAGTTCTTTCTATCTTTATGAAAACACTGTACTGATCAAAGTGATTACTGAGTGTGGCTGGCTAACTGTTCAGTCTTTATGCTAAGATGAGCTAATAAGTAGCTAACTTTGGCTTCATATTTAATGGACAGATATGAGGGGGGTATTGATTCTCTCATCATGCTCTCGGCAAGATTGCAAAAAAGTAAGGTGATGAATAAGACAACTATAACTCCATAGATCAAATACCCCTGCCACAGTCCCCTTAAAGTTAATCAAGCTGCACCAAATTCCAGCAACTCATAGATATCTTTTCATTCATCAAGATACATGAATTCTTCTCTGGGAAATTAATTATGTCAAAAATAATGCGCAAACTCGTAGTGTTAAAGAAAGTGATGAATTCACACCCTAATCCAAATCAACCAAAACTGAATGGGTTCTCCCCTGACCCACATCTTTTCACAAAGTTTAGTGGTGAGCCATTTTTGTGTAATTTTGCATAGAAAAAAAAATGGATGGGGATTAAAATAATCTTCTTGGCGTTTAAGGAGGTGGGAGGTGGGTGAGCAGTTCATCTGAGTAATAGAGTCTCGCTCCATCAAGATAACTGTGGAAAGGTTATTCATCAATCCAACCAAGCATTGCCTTTGTTCGGCTGCATCTATATCATGTCTTGCGCTGCACTGATCAAGCTCACAGCAACACTTAATAAAACTTCATTCACCTCCTCATGTCAAACCTCCAACCATCCAGTCATGTGTCAAGTCTCATCAATTTTACCTGAACACCACGCTCTCTCTCTTTCTCACAGCTGGATAACGTGATGGCGGCGCCGGGGCCAAGGAATGTGTGTAAAACAACACCATCTGTCATCGTCACCTCTATATCCAGCCCGTCTATACTGCACAGTCCGCCAGGTTTTCATGGCAACCAGAAATTGACCATAACTTACAGCCCGGCCGTCAAAGATCCCCTTGACGTGGCCCGACTGGAGACGACAGCATTGCAATGAACAGCTGGACAAAAGTGCAATGGGAGTGTGTAATTGTATGTGTGTGTGGGAGTGTTTGTGTAACATTATTTACCCCTCATGGGACTTTTTCTGCACTGGCATGCTGTTTGCTAGTTATGGCATAAAACCAGACCATGTTCTCTTTCATTTTTTTTGCAGAGTGTGCGAGAATGTGAGTGCAAACGCCTCGTAAATTTAAATGTGTGTCCGTATTTGCATAGATTTATACGTTTAGTTTTTTTCCGACATATCATGATGGTTGAAGTTGGTTTATCTCTGAGCTGGAGGCAACAACTTAGCCTTAATGAACACTACGGGAAAGGTGTTTTTTTATGGATAATTTGAAGAAACAAAAATGTATTTATTCATAAAGGACAACGCACTGTCCAACATTTTCTCTTGAAAGTAAAATAAAGGTCATCGTTATTTTCCCGTACATTAACTGAATATTTTTAAGGACAACGGACAACATCAGAAATTCTGAAATCCTTTTTATCCATTGCATTGCAACTAGCGATGCATAATTTTTTTTAAGCAACTGAATATTTGTGGAACAACCCAGTGAAAATAATTGTTAAAAAATTAACAGTTGATAGTGTCGTTACATTTTTTTTTTGTTAAGGCATCCCACTTTCTTTACTATGTGTATTTTTGTAAAATTTGTCTTGAAAATCTGCTGAAACCTCAGATTGATTGATATTTCTTTCAGGGGGGTTATGCACAGACCATAGACAAAATAAAAAATGGCACTCAGAGAACTCATACATCAGCCAAGACTCAACAGTCCACTGATGAAACCTCATTTAAATTCACTAGACTCAGATTATTATTTGGATCTGTAGAAAATTTCACACACATATAAATATCAGTCCACTAAATGTGTCCAGATCCATGAACTTTTCTCTTGGAAATCAACAAAATGTTGAAATGCACCCTACCTCACAATGTTAAAGGAAGTGAAAAAATATCCTGGATTTGCACCTTGTTACGCTCCTTCAAAAATGTTCATGTGAATAGCTTAAGTAGTTTTTATGTGATTGTGCTAACAAACAAATGTATGTGGCTCGGAGAGATGGAGCGCTCAGTCTTTCTGCCCTCTAGTGGTCAAACAACCCACTTAATGCCACTTTAATGTGAGATGTGCCACTTCCTAAATGAACCACATACACTCAACAGGTCACGAGAGGATGATTTTATTTTCCCTGTAGCTCTTTAGCAATGATTTTTCCAGTCCTGCATGGTGACACAAAGTTCTACAGATCAGGTCACAGATGTGTCGCGACACCACAGTCCATCAAGCCAGTACTGTGTGAGCATGCGAGCGTTAGGGTGAGAGTGTGTCCGCACTGGAGAACTGGACTCAATGCTGTAACTACACATTCCTCTTGATGCCATATAACATCTATTATTAGATCCGCAGGAGACAGTATGTGAAATGACTTTTTTGTTATATAGTTAAAAGGTGTGTTTCAGGGCTTTTATCTCATCGTTCACAGTTGTACAGAAACACTTCACCGTCCTGTTCATTGAACATCGTGTCTGCAAAACTTTTTTTTTCTCCACTTCTGGGCACTGCACTTCCCTTCAAGGCTTCTTAAATTGCTGCATCATTGACTATGATTGTAACTTTTCACACGTGGAAACAAATCTGACACACACACTCATGTTTGTGTTTGTCGACTGACAATTTCATTAAAGATAGTACAAATCTTGATAGTAAGTGTTGTAACATGTCCTCCAGTCTCCATCAGTGAATGTAAAAATGTTGGAATTATGACAAAATACAAATGAATATTATATATATATGTATACAGTATATACATATATATATATATATATATATATGTATACCGTATATGTATACAGTATATACATATATATGTATACAGTATATGTTTACAGTATATATATATGTATACAGTATATATATATATATGAAGTGATGATTTAATGATGTGATGGTTTCCTGATTTTGTTTTTTTGGAACAAAACGTTTTGTGTTGTTTTTATTTATTTTTCTAAATAAAAGGGTTAAAATCTGCACAACTGGTGGTTATTTATCAGTCAAAAGGCTTTTTCTTTAAACTCTGTCTGCAACTAATGATGATTTTCAGTGGAAATAAACTGCTGATCATTTTCTCAATTGATCATTTGGTCTATAAAATGTCAACACAAAAGATAAAGAGTGTGATTGGTCGAGCTGGTACATGGGAGCTTGACAGGTTTTTAGAGGTGTGGTTGAGGTGTGGCCATGCTCCCAGACCCAAGTTAACTTGTCGATTTCTATCAATCAACTACTTGATTACACATCAGAAAATTCTGAAAAAAACTGTTTGTAACCTTTACTTGGCAAAAAACAAAATGTCATCTTGTCACTTATAAAGTATGGCCACATGCAGGCATTGATTGATGAGCGGCAACATAATGATGGTGATTGCAGCTCCTAATGCAGCATCTGTTCACAGATCATTGGCTCAGTTAACTGAATGGATAAGATCGTTCCAGACTCGTGCAGCACAGCAGATAACAGCTGAAACGTCTTGATGTCAGATACATGTCATCTGTCACATGTTATATATGACGGGAATTACCCTGCTCATGCTCTTTAGCTTTGGAAAGGCAGAACAGTGGCGCCCTGTAGAGGTGGGAAGTAGAACTCAATCTGAGAGAGTAGTGGGTGGGAGAGTAATTAAACATGTTGTCACGCACACTGGTGCTGGCAAGGGAGAACCCAAAAGCACGCCAACAGACAATCTTAGTGTGGGCAACGTGGTTTATTCACCAACAGGCAGAGAAAAGACAGGCAGAGGTCAAAACCAGGATAATTCACCGACAGGCAGAGAAAAGACAGGCAGAGGTCAAAACCAGGATATCAGTCKGTYCAGCAAACAAATCCGAAGGGGCAGGCAAGAAGGGAATCCAAAAATCCAAGCAGGGTAGCAGTCAGGTCAGGAACAGGCAGGCAAGAACACAGAATATAAC